TGGGACTCGATCCCAGGACCCTGGGATCATGACCTGAGCCGAAGGCAGACGCTTAACAACTGAGCCACCCAGGCACCCAGCCATTGTGTCCAATTTTAAAATGCACCCATTTACTCTGTTCAATTTAGGGTGCTTCCAAGATTAACCTCTTGATATCTGTATCACCTAATACTTCTACCTGACCACAATATTTAGACTTCCACATTTCCAGAATACTCATTTAATCCTATCATAGATATAATCATAGCAATACTTATCATTTATTTTTGTTTTACATATATCATCTCAATCCTTAAAATCACGCTATTATTAATTCTTATCTTTACAAAAGATAGAGTGACTAAAACTCAATCTTGAATTATGGCAACTATTAAAAGCCAAAGCTGTGCCCCTTGCTAAACTGAGAGTAGCAGGAGAGACAAAAAAGGTAAAGAGGAGACCTAAGAAATGCTTCATCTCCTTCACCAATACTCTCTCCCTTCTAGGCATTTCTTCCTAACAAAGACATCAACTATTTCTTTCAGAAAGAATCATCCACTCCAGGTTACTGTACCCAGAAAAGCTGAGGTCCAGGGAGACAGGTAAAAATAAAGCCTATTGCCAGGTAGCAACTTCCAGGTCCAGCTCCATATTTAACAATTTGGACTCAACGTGATCTCTGGTTTCTGAATTAATAAAACACAAACCGGGCGCCTGGGTGGCTCAGTTGGTTAAGCGACTGCTTTTGGCTCAGGTCATGATCCTGGAGTCCCTGGATCGAGTCCCGCATCGGGCTCCCTGCTCGGCAGGGAGCCTGCTTCTCCCTCTGACCCTCCTCCCTCTCATGTGCTCTCTCTCTCTCATTCTCTCTGTCTCAAATAAATAAATAAAATCTTTAAAAAAAAAAAAAACACAAACCAACCAACAGTCTACTAAGTTTCTAAGGAAATTGTGAAACTCTAAACCAGGCAAACAAAAAAAAGTGATTGTTCAGTCCCTATGACAATCCATGGCCCCACCTTACAAGAAAACTAAGTGCTGCTTAATGTACAGTCCCCAGAAAGGGAATTCTCCCAAGTAGGAGACCTTCCCAGAAAAGCACACCAGAGTTGCCAAATTAACCAAGCAACTAACTCTACTGCAAAGAAAAAGAGTTCTCGGTATATTCCTGGCCAGCTGGCTTTTAGCTATGGACCTGGTAATCAGTGTGTTGTTTTCCCTCTCCTCTTTTCCAAATTGTTTTCATCACAGCCATCCTGTTTTCCCTTCATCACTGTAGGTTAGCAATATGGGCGGGGGGGGGAGGGAGAAGAATAAGTAAAAATCACATTTATTTATAGTTTTCCAAATCAGAGATCTAGAACTGGATGGAGTATGTGGATGAGTCTAAGTTATCTTCTTTTAGGGAGGGATGGGCTTGTTTTCAGTTGCATACAGAATAGCTGCATTAGTTACGTAAAGTGGTTGGTAAAGTGGCTCTCAGTGATCTCCACCTCCTATTATTCACATCCATGTATTATGTCTTTCCACTTCTGTGTGCATCGGATCTAGCAGCTTGCTTTTAGTGAACAGAATATGGTAAAAATGATGAGATTTCACTTCCGAGTTCAGATTATAAAAAACTGTTACTTATGGCTTGCTCACACTCACTCTGGCCCTTCTCACTTGCTTGCTCTGATAAAGCAAGCTGCCAAGTTGTGAGCTACCCTTTGGAAAGGCTACATATAAGGAACTGAAGTTGGTCTCCAGTCAACAGTCAACAAGAAACTGAGTCCCTCAGTTCAGCAGATCATCATAAACAGAATCCTGTCCACAACTATGTCAGCGAGCTTAGAAGCAAATCCTCCCCAGTTGAGCCTTCAGGTGTGACTAAAGCCCTGGCCAACACCTTGATTGTAACCTTGTGAGAGACTCCAAGCCAGAAAACCTATCTAAACCATGCCTGGATTCCTGACCCAGAGAAACTGAGAAATAACAAATGTTAAAACATTAATCCACTAAATTTTAGGGTGATTTATTAAGCAACAATAGATAACTAGTACAGTATGGTCGCCAAACAGCCAAAGGATAAACCATAGTGGATATATGCTGGTTTTTGTCTTCCCAGAATCAAATGCTTTTTTCTGGTAAGCATGCCTTCGCTTTCCTTTGGGGAACCATTCTCTCCATTATTCTCAGTAACCAAGAGGTTTAGATGGGGTTGACTCATCCTCCCCAACAAACTAAATACACTCAACCTAAACTTGACACATGAGACCTGATGCTGAGACTTCTGTTGAAATCATTGTGGGGAGTAAAGCACTCTTCTTATTGGACTTTAAGTTGATAGATGTAAGCCTGGAACTATCAAGGCCATAAATGAGGGAGAGGTTTTGTAAAAATAAAGCCAATACAGAGAAAAGGAAAATCAAAGAAGAGAAATGATGAAATCCTGTTAACAATAAGCCTCTGAATCTAACAATGCCTCAAGTCTATTTCTTGACTTCACACACAGAAATAAGTTTCTTTCTTCATTGTTTACCTTAAATCAATTTGAGATGAATTTATGAAAAAAAAAAAAAAGAGAGAGAGAGATTTTCAACATACTAATCTAGGAGGTTCCGTGAGAACAGGGACCAAATTTGTTTTTATCACAACTACATTTCCCATTGCCTAGCCCAATGCCTGGCAAGTAGGGATCACTCAATAAATATCTGTTGAATGTGTGAACGAAAGTATTCTAAGAAAAAACACTGAATAGGCCCAACTTAGCAAAAATGCAATGCAAATGTTTTATAATCACTGAGAGAATAAAACAAAACACCTTTAAAAAAATTAAAATTGTGTTCTAGTTCTAAAACTTTGAAGATTATTTACAAACATTATTTTAACTATAAAGACAATTTGGATTAGGTAAGTCATTTAAGCACCTCCACTATTCATTTTAGCTCATGTAAAAATCCTCTAATTTCTAGGATGACTCCTTTTTATTATGAAAGAAAAACTCCTCTTTCTAGATATAGTCTCATCTTGGGGCATTTTTGAAATTAAGGTTAGAATTTATTTTAGCAATACTATATTAGCTAGTTCCCCATATACTATCTGAATAAAATAATCATGTCCCCAAATCAATTGATTAGAACTCACAATGCAGGGTGCCTGGGTGCTCAGTTGGTTAAGTGTCTGCCTTCAGCTCAGGTCATGATCTTGGGGTCCTGGGATCGAGCCCTGCGTCAGGCTCCCTGCTCAGCAGGGAGTTTGCTTTTCCCTCTCCCTTTGCCCCTCCCCCTGGCTTGTGCTCTCTTGCTTTCTCTCTCTTTCTCAAATGAATAAATAAAATCTTTAAAAAAAAAGAACTCACAATGCATTCTTTGTCATAGATAGAATACTATGAATAATGTTTTCGTTGCCAGGTTAATTAATGAAATATCTATTTATACATAACATCTAGATCCAAAAACTAATTTACAGTAAATACGGAAGACAGAGGAGTATGTCAAACCACACCAAAGGGATACAGTCAGTAAAGTCCATACTATGGGAAACTCTGCTGGACAAACAACTTGGTTTCTTCAACAAATAAACCGCAGGGGGTTAAAATAGAGATTGAAGGGAAACCTATAGATTAAGAGACTTAAAAGACATGTCAACCAATTGCAACATGTAAACCATTTTGGATCCTGATTCAAACAAACTTTTAAAAATGTGACATGTAGGAAACAACTGAAAATTTGAATACTTCCTGGATATTTGATAATATTAAGGAATTATTATTTTTAAGGTACAATAACGGTATTGTGGTTATGTTAAAAGAGTCCTTGTCTTTTAGCTGTATATTGAACATTTTACAGATAAAATGTGATATCTGAATTGGCTTCAAAATAATTGGGGAAGGAGGAAGATATGGACATGGGTGGGGCCAGCTTGATCATGGGTTGATGGTTGTTAGGGCTGGGTGATGAGTACCTAGAGATTCATTATACTATTCTGTCTACTTCTGTGCAGGTATTAAATTCTCCATAGTAAAAAGTTTAAAAATTTAAAAATAAGTAAACATAACAAAGAAAAACTAAAATGTACCTAATTATTATGAATCTAGTGATCATATTATCCAAATTTAAAAATCTGGATACTTAGGCTAAAGAATATTTGAATAACCCTAGAAATTATAAGATATATGCTTCCAAATAATTACGATACTCTGAATTCTGAATATGAAGACAGAGGCAACTCATACAGACAAGAGGAAGAAGAGTTAGAAGGTACAGTTCCCTTTTCTCTGGCAGAGGGTTTGCCACTGGTACACTGTCTTTGGCCTCTTCCTCCTACCTTTTGTCAACTAACTTTTAAAATATTTGTTGAACATTTATCATATGTAAGACACTGGGCTTGAGTAAAACATAGTACTGTGCCCTTAAGAAGCTTACAATTGCATAGATAACCCCTCCCACTGGAGTTCTCAGACCTGAACATTTCCACCCACTTCCCATTGCCACATTCCAACCTTCCTGTCTTATTTTACTCTAAAAGTACCTGTTTTTCTCTCCCTAACTCACAATAAGAACTTCCTAGCATTTTCCCACTTCGGCTTGCCTTAGGTAATTCTTAAAAGGAAAAAAAAAATTTTTTTAATCAGGTTAAATAAGCTTCTACAATTATAAATAAATAAAATAATGTAACCCTGACAGTGACTAGCAAGCTAGGCCTGCCATGGGGTCAGCCCCAGGAGTTAGATCTAACTTGTCACAGCTTCTTCCCTCCTTCCCCAACTGAATCCACATATTCCCTAACTGCTTCGAGTTTTACCATCCCTGCCTCAACCCCACAACCACAGTAGCTGTGGGCACTCGAGTTCTGTATCAGTGACAGGATCTTACCTTAGGTCATGAAAAAGTCACTAATGGCATAGTTAAAATATTTCTGATGTGCCTGAATTTTTATAAACTTGATTTATATATAATTAGTGAAGATAATTCCATATTCTGTATCATGAGCTAATGTGAAAAGCAGCAGGGTTAATCATCCATGGAACATAATCATACCTGCATGGTTCTTCGTTTCGTTAAGGTTACTTGAAAATTTTTCCACTCCCAACGCTGCTCCACCACGTGTGCAAAAACAACATGCCCATTTCCACAGGCTCCGGCGATCTGAGTGCCATCAATTGACCATGCAATGTTAAATATGCTGCCAGTGTTGGGCTTTTCTAAAGCATATGACCACTGGAGAAGAAAGAATGACAGAAAAATTGATATACTGAAAAAAATTTTTAAAGAAATTTTAAATTGAGCATACATTAACATTTTAAGATGATTTTTTAAAAGAATGTGTCTTTATCCTAGAATTAATATTTTTCATAATAAAATGATTGTGTACTGAACAGAAGAAGATACAGATGTAATTTTTAAAGTACACAGTAGAATACGATAGAAGTGTATAAAATCTCTCAAGCACTGCAAAACACCCACACCATTTCCATTCACATCATTATATTTAAGTAATAATACTGAATGGGTAAATACAAAGATTCTATAGAAGAAGAAAAAAAAAGACACTTTACTATTAATTCTTAAGGTCTCTATAGTCCCTACATCTAAAAGGATGGAATTTTGGTTATAATATTTGGAATATTGGTTATAATATTCCAATAATGTCACTAAAAATTGAAACTAAACACACAATATAACTAAGACATACCTGATAGACATTTTAAATCATGAAAGCATAGGTTAATGGATATTTTCTTCTTGTTTCTTTCTCATAATGTAGTAAATGTAACTTCTAGAGTTTACCTTTTTGAGAAAGTTATCTAATCAATAAGCATCAACTGGGACAAAAGAGACTGTGTGTGTGTGCGCATGTGTGTGTGTGTGTGTGTGTGAATAAGACAGTAAGAAAAAGCCTTTTAAAAGATGCTATTACATGCATTTTCTTTCATTTTTCAGATGCAACATACATATTTGCTAAAAGGATGACTTATTTGACTAAATTGATACACATTCTCTTTCCATTCTTCCAACCTTAAAAAGCCTAAAGTCAAATTAAGTCTTGATTTTTTTGTTGTTGATTTTTTGGTTGCTCTTCGGTGGGTATTTATTTTGTTGCACATTATTGTTGTTTCAAATGTGTTCATTGTTAGCCATGGGCTCACTGACAAAAAAAGTGGAGAAAATGGAAAAAATACAGAAAAAGATTCATTAATTCACACTACTATCAAAAAGACTTTAAATTCTCAATAAAGTTCATATATACAATAAAAATGCTGAATGACTCTTACCACTCACTGACACTTTTTTTCAACTCCCTTCCACCATCCTTTAAACCTCTACCTGTTGCTCAAGTAAAAGGCCTATAGGGTGCCTGGGTGGCTCAGTTGGTTAAGCATCTGCCTTCAGCTAGGTCATGATCCTGGGGTCCCAGAACTGAGTCCCATGTCAGGCTCCCTGTTCAGCAGGGAGTCTGCTTCTCCCTCAGACCCTCACCCCCTCATGCTCTCTCTCTCTCAAATAAATAAATAAAATCTTAAAAAAAAAAAGGCCTATAAAAAAAAGTTATCGAGAAGGAGGTAATGAACAAACTTCCACTTCATCAGCAGCATGAAAATGTTAGAAACTTTCTTTTCTGAAATTAAGAAAAGCAAGTTCAAAAAAAGAATATATATGAGTTGAAGTCATCTTTTTAAAAATAAGTAAAGACAAAGAACATCAAGGATATAAACAATGTGCTTCTGGCAATAAAATGAAATTAACTCATTTGTGTTTGACAGAATTATGAAATACTGCATGACTACTATTTTACATAAAAATTAAGTGGTTGGTATAGGCAAATGAGACTTGATTGTTAATATACAATACTTAACAGATTGTACTAGGCTTACGGCACATCTGTCATTCTAAATCTAGTCTATTCTCATGGTGTAGATCCAACAGAGATCTTATTTTAAAACCACAGATTCACATTTTAAAACTACTTACTTTTTTTTTTTTTGAGAGAGAGTGTGTGTGAGAGCAGGGAGTGGGGGTGGCAGAGAGGGGCAGAGAGAGGAAAGAATCTTAAGCAGGCTCTATGTGTGGAGCTTGACACAGGAGTCGATCTCACGATCCTGAGATCATGACCTGAGCCAAAATCAAGAGTTGGATGCTTAACTGACTGAGCCACCCAGGTGCCCCTTAAATCTATTTGCTTTAAAGTATGATCTTAAAATACCCAAAGAACCAAATCAGCGAGAAAGACACACCTTACTAAAATTAAACATAGAAAAATGTATCTAAGAACTCTTGGATGCCTAACCCTAGCTAAGAGGAGAAACTGGAAAGAAATGTTTAGATAATACTATCATCACCCTATATTTCTCTGATTTCTTTCAGAGTCTGTAAGATTCATCAAAAATGAAGTCTGCAACATGCAACTTATCCCTAAAAACAAACTTCAAAGAATATAACAGTACCATGATATTAAAGTTATATTAAATTTGTATATTTTTATTTAAAATTAAGAAATGATTTCTTTTAGATGACTAGTTTCAAAAAAAAAATACAAGCACAAGCAAATCATCAGAGAATGGGTCTTTAATAGTTATGAAATTTGGGGTGGGGTTAGGAGATAAGGTTATTTTGTCCAGTCAGTAAATTTATTAATTATTGGTAAGTCAAAAAGATTTATCATCTGTGCTTTAAACAGACTTTTAGGGGCACCTGGGTGGCTCAGTTAGTTAAGCATCATTAAGTGTCCTACTCTTGATTTCAGCTCGGGTCATGGTCTCAGGATCATCAGATTGAGCCCCCCATCAGGCTCCACACTCAGCAGGGAGTCTGCTTGAGACTCTCTCTCTCTCCTTCTCCCTCTGACCCACCCCCACTGCTGTGCTCTCTCAAACAAATAAATAAATCTTTAAAAGTAAATAAAGAGATTTTTAACACTCTAAGTCTCTTCTCTTCCTCTAATATGCCATGGAATATTCACGTTTGTGTTTCAAACTCTAGAAAGAAATGAGGCAGCCTCCCAAGATGTAATTTAGTGATACTAGTAGTAAGATGAAGATGAATTTTTAAAGATCCCTCTCACTTAACACTTACTCTTGCTTTAACCCGACTATCCCTTACTTTAGGATATGCCCAGGCCAGCAGCATCTATACTGCCTGTGATCTTGTTAGAAATGCAAATTAATGGGCCCAACTCCACCTTATAGAACCTGATCCTCTGGGGATACAAGGCCCAGGAAACTTCTTTAATTTTTTTTTTTAAAGATTTTATTTATTTATTTGAGAGAGAATGAGAGAGAGCACATGAGAGGGGGGAGGGTCAGAGGGAGAAGCAGACTCCCTGCCGAGCAGGGAGCCCGATGCGGGACTCGATCCAGGGACTCCAGGATCATGACCTGAGCCGAAAGCAGTCGCTTAACCAACTGAGCTACCCAGGCGCCCGGCCCAGGAAACTTTTAATGAGCTCTTCCAGGGATTCTTATGCATGGAAAAGTTAGGACACTGGTTCTTAATTCTGGTTGCACATTAGAATCACCTGGGATGCTTTTATAAAAGATACCAAAACCCAGGAATCCAATCAATTAAATCCAGAAATTCTTGGGATGGGATCTGGGTATATTTTTTAAAGTTCTCTATGTGATTTTAACATACAGCCACTGTTCTACGAGAAAAGCAAAATCTGTAATTTGGTTTAAGACTATCATTAACAACTGGCTCACTGTTAATACCCTGCCAATTCATCTGCCAACTCTTGAGAAAATTACATGACCTGTGTCTTAGCCTCTAATCCAGCTTCTCATGGTTATGTGTAAACTTGGTTTCTTACATTTGTTACCAAGTCCAAGCTTGTTCTGCTCACCACATGACAGGCCAATTAAGTTGAGAGGCTTTATGTTGGGGCAAGGAGAGTGACTTTGTTTGGAAAGTCAACAAATCAAGGAGATGGGAGGGCTATTGTCCCAAAGAACCATCTTCCCAAGGCATGAGGTTTGAGCTTCTGTTATGTTCGGAAGAGGGGGAGGTGGGAAGGGAGTGGAGTCAAAAGATGACTGACATCTGTAGACATCTGAGAAAGACAGTGTAACCTCTTTGTCCTTGATCCATTGATCTTTGCATACAGGAATCTGGTCATGTAGTTTCTGCAAACCTTAAACATGCGCAGTCATTTCTGTATCTCCTGTATTTCCTCATCTCCTCGGGTGAGGTAGATTTTGGGTAAAAAGCAGTTTTTGCAAACCTTATCTGTAACATGCCTGAGTGCAGGGCTAAGCAGAACTTTCTGCAAGGGAAATCTAAGCAATATGGAGTCAGACATGCTAAGTTTCTCCTTGTTACACATTCATCAACCTAATTTTTCCTCTTTCACTTTTTATTATCAGACTTTCAAACAAACTAAAGTAGGAAGAGTAACATAAAGCACTGGTTTTCAAACTGTAGAGTGCTTTAGAATTACCTAGAGGGATTGTTAAAACAGATTACTGGGCCCAACTTTGGAAAACAGTGTGGAGGCTCCTCAAAAATTTAAAAATAGAGCTACCCTATGACCCAGCAATTGCACTACTGGGTATTTACCCCAAAGACACAGATGTAGTGAAAAGAAGGGCCATATGCATCCCAATGTTCATAGCAGCAGTGTCCGCAATAGCCAAACTGTGGAAAGAGCCGAGATGCCCTTCAACAGATGAATGGATAAAGAAGATGTGGTCCATATATACAATGGAATATTACTCAGCCATCAGAAAAGATGAATACCCAACTTTTACATCAACATGGATGGGACTGGAGGAGATTATGCTAAGTGAAATAAGTCAAGCAGAGAAAGTCAATTATCATATAGTTTCACTTATTTGTGGAACATAAGGAATAACATGGAGGACATTAGGAGAAGGAAGGGAAAAATGGGGGGCGGGAATTGGAGGGAGAGATGAACCATGAGAGACTATGGACTCTGAGAAACAAACAGGGTTTTAGAGGGCAGGGGGGAAGGGGGATTGGTTAGCCCGGTGATGGGTATTAAGGAGGGCACGTACTGCATGGAGCACTGGGTGTTATACGAAAACAATGGATCGTGGATCACTACATCAAAAACTAATGATGTATTGTATGGTGACTAACATAACATAATAAAATTAAAAAAAAAAAAAGATTACTGGGCCCACTCCAGTTTCTCTGATACAGTAGATGTAGGGTGGGTACGGCCAAAACATGTTAGATGACACCATGAGACTGCAGATGGCAAA